TTGCATATTCAGACATGTATGTGAACGCGCCACCTTCCAGATGCAGCAGGGCCATGGTAATCTTGTGTTCATCGTCGTTGATCTCGTTCCACCGCATCCATATACCGAGTTGTTGGAGCCAGTCCTCCAGACTTCCTTTGCCCGAGTAGTGTGGAGGTTCGGCAATTTTGATGCGTGGTTTGTGCGATTGGACCGTGCCGGATGTTTGACCTTGCATCATAGTGACGCCGCTTGCTTTGAGCGAAGCTAGCTCATGTCGCAGCCTAGTGTTTGCTGCCTTGATTTCCATCATCTCTTTTCCAATATCCAACATTGCCGCTTGTGTTCCGGTGAGTTCGCCGTTAAGTACCGTTATATGTGCATCTTGTGCATCGATCCTGTCCTTGAGCTTGCCGTTCTCAGTTTGGAGCAGTGCCTCCTTGAGTCGGTGTTCGCTCTTGTTGTTTTGGATCAGTGACTCGAAGGCTTTCTTGTGCTCGTACATCTTGTTTCTGAGCACATTGTAGACCTTGGCGACTTCGGTACTGACCGTGAGCTTCATTGCCACGATGACCCATTCGCGGATGTGGTCCGGGACTTCTCCAGGAGCGGATTGTCTGAGCGCATCTTCTAGATGCTCGAACTGGTGTCCGTCGAATTCCCAGATGGGGGGAACATAGGCGGGTAAGAGTGATGGGGTTGGGGACGCTGGTCCTCCAACTTGCGATGCAGAATCCTGTGGTCCTAGTGCAGGTTCTGGTGAATTGCGCTGCGAGGCGCGTGGGGTGCTTCCGTCGTGTGCTGACTCGATGTTTGCATGCAGAATGTCATCCATTCTTTGCCTGAACGTGGATGCGTACGCACGATCGGCTGACTCCATTGTGATATAGGTAAACTAATACAAAAAGTGCAAATATCTCGCTTTCGAGATGAAGACCAGAGCCTTGGCGATTTCCTGCAGTCTCTCTTCCTTTCCTATCTGCTTGAAACTGATTCCTCCTATCTCCAGACAGACTTTGTTGATAACCTGCTTCTCGACGAATGTATATGTGCGCGTCCCTGTGTGTAGGTCGGCGCAGACTTTATCGAGCTCTGTGGCGAGGCTAAAGATGGGTCCTTGGTGCTCGTCCTTGAGACGATATGAGAATGCTCCTAATGTGGGTTGGAGCCTGAAGCGGGTAGCATCTACCTGCTTCGTAAGGGTCTCGATGTGGATCGTCGGCCTGACTCTGGAAGGGAGTGGGCGGATGGGACGTGCGATGGTGTTTGTCTTTATGAAGTTGGGTAGGGGACGAGTTGGAATGGGAGCAATGACAGGGGGAGGAACGGCGTTGGAGGTGATAAGCTCTGGGGGTGGTGCTGGCTTGCGACTACCAGTGGTAAGACGTCCCTTTCTGGGCTTGTAGCGTTCGAGCGGTGGGGTGCGATCGCGAGGTCTGCGGATGATTCCGCGCTTTATAATGTGCGTAGTATCGACAACCCTAGCTGCTGCGCGCTGTCTGTCTGTGGACGATGCGCCGAGTGACGTGAGTGTGAGGAGTCTTCCACGCTCCTTGTTGGTTTCCTGACGCTTGTAGTGGGCGTCGAGGTCGATCCTGGGGGTGGCCTTGCGCTTTGAGGCTTTGGGCAGCTCAGAGTCTTGCTGAGGCTCACGCCGGGTAGAGATCGGATTGGAATGTGTGTCAAAAAAGCCACACGCTACGGCTGAAACTGCTTGCGCTGAAAATACGCGGCCGCTTGTGTTAGACACTAAGCAGGGGCGCAGAAAATGTCAGATTGTTTCTAATGTCACGGTAACACCGGACAAGAGATCAAAGAGACTAAAAAGGGACAGTCACGTGGAACGTGCCGCCCTGATCCCCCTGATCCCAAAGGTATCCCCCTGAACCCTATGTGGCGCAAGAGCCTGTTGACTTACTGGTCAATGTTGGCAGACGCAGGAAAGGGTGAGAGATATATGAAGGAGCTGGTAAGCTCAGTGAGTGCTATAGGTAGTAGACGAGGAGAAACAATCTGAGGTTTCGTCCCCTACATGGCTGGTCTTATATACACGTACAGCGGGCTATCTTACCTAAGCTACCTATCTACGGGTATAAGCAAATGGCTGTACATGAAACAATAGGATGTCCGGAAGTAGAACAATAAGTGAGAAGATCGATGGTTGCCGCAGTAATGCGTGTGCACATCGTGCCTATCTTGGTTCTCCTTTTGTTCTCCGGCGTGAACATCGTACCTATCTAGGCTTCTGGCTCAACTAATAGGAAGCGGAAGGCCGACGCATAACAATAGTCCTTGTTCCCTTTGTTCCCAAATGGGTGCCTCTATTGTATCCTGGAATAGACAGGTCCGACCGTATCATCCACGGGTCTGGACCATAACATGTGATGTGGACTATCACCTGATCTCTACGTGTCGTGTCTGTGGCTGAGTGTCGTGAGATATTGGTGAAGCACGTGATCTGTGGTGTGAGAAAAGTCACGTGCGGACTTTGTGGCAAAAAACTGTGACAGCATGACTCAGGGAAAAAAACAGCAAGTGCAGCCTAAATGGCAATGCGACGTGCATGCCGGTAAGATCTCAATCTCCAGTTCAAGCGGAGTTGAATTTAGAATTTAAATCTGGCTTTTTTACTCTGGAAGGGGGAGTCAGACAACATGTGATCTAGAGAGGGCGGTGTTGACCCGAAACAACGGAACAGAGGTCAAGCCGACATGCCGGCACGATCTGCGGCTCAGATTTATCCAACAAATGTTTAGAACATGTTCTAAACACCTGCGGAAAGGCATCCATTATATGCAAATACTTAATACAGAATGTGGGAAGGAACCATAGCAAATTAAGATCACAAAGGCAAAAAACCTGTCGACATTTGCTAAGCATTTGCCACATGCACAAATCGCTTCATGTCTGCAGTGTGAGCGACGAGCGTACTAAGCGGATCTTCTGATCTTTCGCAGCACGTTTTGATGAGGATAACGTTCGTGCATACTATGACATATGGGTAATGCTCATAGGTTGGTGCCACGTCGAGCATCTATAGACTGGTTGCAGAGGCACTAGTACATGATGAACAACGCATCGCATCAGGAAAACTCAAATGCAAATTACGATGCTTTTACGTTTAAGCCACTTGTCGTCCCCGAAGAAGACAGTGAGGTGGAAAACTCTTGGAATTTCCCAGGCCGGACACCGTGGTAGCAGTCCGCGCCCATCCCAGTTCCCCAGTGACCTCGTTAGAGTGCATAATGAGTTGTGTAAACGGCTGAGGGAACTGGCTACCTAGGTATGTACTTTATACTACCTTCTGCCCCTGTCTGGGCCCGTGCCTTTCCGACCATTCCGTCTCCAGGTACCG